TTACAAGGTACATAATGCAAGTGCGCTGCCGATCCGGACTAGCAAGGAATCCGAATTAGCGCTCTTCGGATTATCGAGTTTTTACTGTATTTTCAATCTAATAAATAATTTAATGATGTAAATAAGAGGAAATTTCTCTCATGGGTGGTAAAATTCTATAGTTTTCATTATATCAAACAGCCTCTGAATGTTTTCTTCAGTGCGAAGCTCGTCAAAATTTAATATAAATAATTTTTCCAGCCTGTAAATAAAATGAACAAATTTTTTCACTTTCGTGATCAAAGGCTTTTAAATGGGTAAATAATTTCGAGTTATACAGAGATTCGGATTCTTTTGCAAATTTTAGACAAATATCACATTGATGTATTTGAAGACCCTTTTTAATGATGTAGTCAAACATAATTAAAGGCATTTTGAGTTGAAAACATTTCTCAGAGGCTGTTTGATATAATGAATACTATAGAATTTGACCATCCATGTGAGAAATTTTCTTTTATTTACATCATTAAATGATTTATTAGATTGAAAATATTTGATGTATTAAAGTTTATAAATAAAGATTTATATAGTCGAAAAAAGTCCGATAGAACGGATAGAACCAATAGAAAGGTAACTATTTTGTCACATTTTTAATTAAATTTTGTTAAATAAATTAATTTTTTATACTATAAATATCTTTTTTTTCCTTATAAATAAACACATTTATTTTTATTTTTAAATAAGATATACAAATTACCAAAACTTAGAAATAACAGTTCAAAAGTTCAACAAAAATCCTACATGCGTTTTTAAAAAGAAACATATAACCACGCACTATGGCACTCCAGTAAGCGAAGACGACACAACATGGGTTTGCCGAACGGTTTCAAACCAAACCAAACCACACCACTCAATAGGCGTGTCGGGTTTACCGAACGGTTTCCGATGCAGTCGCTTTCTTTCGCATCTGTTATAGGTAATTTGTGACAGCGTCGTGTTCATAACCAGCCTGTCAACTTAATATCATTTGTATAGGTAATGGCTCATCTTATGTAAAAAGTCATGTTTTGAACTATATTGAAACGTCAAACCAAACACTTGGTCGCGTTCATCAGGACGTAGCGCTACTGCAGCGATCACTAATTTTCTGCTGAACGCGCCGATTAGTTGTTAGCGCTCTGGGATCAGTCGCCATTTTTTCCATCAGATTTAAAATACGCTACGCTACCGATGCATGATGGATTAAACGTCACATACGCCAAATATCACAAAGTGTTTTGGAAAACGAAAACAAACAATTTTGTTTATTGTTCTCGGTTGACTAATCCCCTCGATTTGTGCGAAAAATGGGTGAAAACAATTTAATATGCATTACTTATGTTATTGATAATCAAATTTATAAGGTGATGCTGATTTATAAGATCAACCACTCGTCCTATTATTAGACCTACATCTAGAGTGTCTTCTTGAGCAATTAGCACTGATATGGATAGGATTTATTGGTGAAATAGAAAGCAAATTAATGTACAAAAGTACATAAAGAGTACAAGTGCAAAAATCAAAATATAAAATCTATAGATTTGGATTTTTGAATCCAAACATACAAACACATAAAGTTAGGTTAAGTTGTTTGTTTCTTAGACAAGGAAAGAGAGTTCCTTGTCTAGGGATGCTAAAAAGCGCGTTCAGCAGGACAACCAATCGATGGCACATCGCTGATCAACTTGTCCTGATAAACGCGACCAATGCCATTCATAAATGCATTTTCATTTCATAATAGGTATATGTTTTAGTCAGTTTTTTGTAGTGGATACGTACTGCTCCAATTTGTTTTAACTTGTTTTATATATATTTTTTCTGAAAAGATACTGTTGACAATTATTTTAACGCATGGAAAGCTTTGCTTTATATTAAAATCAAATTAAAAATTTTGGTATTTTAGATAAAAATAAAACAAATATTAGTATAATTTCCATATTTTTTTTAATTCAGTTATTAAGCCTACATACAAAATATCACACATATTGCAGTACGTAGTACATATATCATAAAAACATACATTACCATATAGTATAAATGTAAATACATAATAAGATTAAATATACACAATTATTTGGAACAGTATGTAGCAATTAAGTTGGTACCCTCATGAACATTACTCAATGTATAACTAACTGTATCATAAGTTACTAGCTTTTGAAATTTAAAGTACATTCTTACTACTTACTATTTAGACGAGAAATTACACTAAAAGAGTTTATGAAAGTACGTGTTAACTGCAAGCTCTAGATAAAAAATTATATCAATTAACTAAAGATCTAATATATAAAAACTATAAGGTTATAAAAAATATAAACCCTGTATAATATTTGAAGAATTGTTGTATAAATTTAAGCATAGTAAAACATTTAAAAGCAAGCAACAATAACTTAAAATAATAATAAAAATATAGAAGATGAATGACTTAAAAGGTTCTACTTAAAATAAGTAATTTGACAGCTACTTCCGGTTAAACCGTAAGTATCAAGAAGTAGAAGATATTTTAAAAATAAAGAACACCTGGAAATAACCCAAATTTGTAATATTTAAATTTTTACCTAAATTATATCCTAAAAATTTTTAAGGCACTAGTAGTAGTTAGTTAAATGTTTTATAAACGTATTCACTGTAAACAGAAAAATTTCTGTTTACAGTGAATACAATTAAAATTTATTTATACATAGATCGCATATAAATTTTCTATTAATCACAATAAGATCATAAGGTGATTTTTTATTTTAATTAAGATATTTATCAAGGTATAATTTATACACCAAGAGTATCATTGAAAAGAAAAAAAATTAAAAATAATATAAAGGTATATAAACTATATTGTACGGAATCTTATAATATCCTTATAATACGCGTTTATTCTTATTATAACTATTTTAGTTAATGCTTTATTATGAGTTTTATATTAAATGCAAGACACTGAAAACACAAGCAGTTTCCTGTTATTAAACTGAAAATTCTATTACATCTATTACAAACATATTAAAAAAAATCAAATTATCTACAAATTAAAAAAAAAATCAAATTTAAAAATGGATACAGAGTGGAACTCGGTTGGTCCTAAAATAAAGCATTTGTTTATTGCAAAAACTGGATCAAAAATCAGGTCTAAAAAAAACAGAAAATTGAACAGAACCAAGCTATAGACTTGTGCAGATAATTTTGCAACAACAAAGCACAGTTTAAGCACATCTTGTTCCTGTTTTAACAGACTTTAACTCAGTATTACCAGATATTTTCGAGCGAATTTCTCGAACGGATCTTTAAAAAACCTTCATATTCCTTCAACTTCACAAAAAATTCCAGTATTTTACCTATTTCATAAATAGGAGAAAATTTTTAAAAACTTATTTCTGGTAATTTTTGGACACCCAATTTTTTGAATGTATTTAAATAACTTCCTTGAGCCGAGAATAAATAATCGTGCAAGAGCCAATGATCAGCTAACTTATTAGATATGTTTTCCGTTTACCTATTTATTTCTCTTCAACATTAAGAACTTTAGTTTAGTAATGGTATGCGTGTAAAAGACGTGTTGAAAGATAAAAATGTATCTATTATTTTTTTGTTAATTGTTAAAATCTTTCGAATTGCGGACTTTTTAACAGCAACATTGATTTAAACTGAGGCATACTTAATTAAACACCGTTAAAGTGAAAAAATAGATGTAGGAAAAACAATAAATACTCCTACTATATATTTTAACAATTTTTAAACTGCCAGAAACCTTCATATTGTCTTCTTTTTGGATAAAAATCTTTCAGCACTTCTATCGACAAAATTTGACTGTAAAAACACTCTCATATTGAAGGAAATATTTCAATTCTGGCAACACTGCTTTAACTTGTTTATTTTTTGAGTTAGAACATTAATGAAGAACGAATTTATATTGTTTTTAGTACGAAGTGTCAAGCGTACACCAATATAGGAAAAATGTATAAGAGGTGGGTATTAGATAGTACGTGTTTTTTTTATTTCAGAAATATAATACACCTTCCTTCTTAATACATTTGACGAAATTTAATAAAAATATACACAAATTTTAATACGATGTTCGGATAATTCGTATGTTCCTATTGTAATCGCAAAACATTTTCCGATGATCAATCATATCGACATTGACATTAAAGTCTATAAACCTGACTAAATGAAATTTTGGCAAAAATGTTTAAATTTGCTGTATAATTTAAGATACCGAGCAGCTCTTCATTTTACTTTATAGAGCAAATGATTGTAACAGATATTTTATTTAGATTACAGCTGCAAAAATTAGTTTAGACCGAATTTTTTTATCGCTATGTGGGTCACATTCCGCCGTGTTCAGCAATGTTGTCCTTTATTATTTGACAATTATTATTTCTAATATCAGTCATTATTTTGTATAATATCGTGTTGTTGAATCTTTGTGAGCAATTCTCGCCTATTTTCGTATTCTTTTTTTAAAAATTGCACTTTTAAGCACAAACAGTTCTTTTAAGAACTAAATTTTCGAGTTTTGGTATTGCATTTCTTGAAATTGTGTGTTAAAAATATGCCGAAGCATTTAAACAGTCGAAGCAAAGAGCTTGTAGCTTCCCTGATAAACAATTTGAATGAGAACGTGACAATAAAGTTCCTTTATTACCCTTGACTGCAGTCAGAGAAGTAAGTTTGATAGATAATCACTGTATACCACTTTCAAAGTTAGTTTTTATTAGATTTTGTGATTATTAGTTTGTGCATTAATAGCACCCTCTTACTTGTTATTACCACTTATGGCGTTGTAAGATGTACATCAATAAATAAATCACCCAAATAACGCTTAGAATAACCTTCATAATGGACTAGTTTTTGCCAATAAGTAATAAGTAAAATAAGTTATAAAACAAATAAATCAATTAATTACTAAAATATTAGTTATTAAATTAAAAATAAAACGTAAAACTCTTTAAAAAATGATATAATAAATATATTGTTTGTCAATTCTAAATTAAGATTCATCTCATAAATCCATCACAATCTGGCAGCGCTGTCGCCATCGCTTGTCACTCAAAGTTGATCACGTGCATCGGAAATTATTTTGCGATTTCCATATATTATTTCGTATGTAAAATTTATAGATAACCTCTATTTACCTCTATTAAAAAAAGGTTTATATTAAAAACTGTGACATTTGACAGATTATATTTTGTTTTTAACTAATGTTCTATCTCCAAAAACAAATAAAGTCATATTGCCTATTAAAAGTGGGACAAAATAAAATGTTAACACTGCACAAACATAGAATAAAAAATTTAATGTAAAAGATTATAATCACGGGCAGGACCAGTATTCTCGATATTTCGAATACTCAACAGAGCGTCGATGCTGTTCAAATTGTTCACACCCTCTCCTTTAGTTTGCGAGTTCTCGATCTTTTCTTCTAAAACAGACAATCTCTTTTTAATCTCCTTATTATCTTCGCAAACTTGATTCACCTTCGTAATCAGATCGTCTAATTTCGTTTCCACTCTTACCAAAATATCGCTATTTTGATATAGTTGGGCCATTACTTGATCTCGTTCTTCCTTTGATCTTTCAAGAAAAGCTATGTCCTCTTTTGTTTTTTCTACGTCTGATTTTGGATAGCCTAACTTGATGAGAGGTACCGAAGAGTCAGTGGCGTCAGTGCATGAGACAGTGGAAACGAGTTTCTTGCTCAAGGTCACCTCTTTCTTCAGTAGCTCAATATCCTCTGGATTTACTACGAAAAATATACTATAAATACCGTATGATCGAATAAAAACGGCGTCAGCGATGGCTATGAAATGAAGATCGCTGAAATTTTATATGTATATGGTAAATTTATAGGGGAAATGTCATTGATTGTCATTTCATAGCCATCGCTGACGCCGTTTTTATTCGATCATACGGTATTTATAAAAACAGCGTCAGCGATGGCTATGAAATGAAGATCGCTGTAATTTTATATGTAAATTTATATTGGAAATGTCATCGATTGTCATTTCATAGCCATCGCTGACGCCGTTTTTATTCGATCATATGGTATATTAAAAAACTAAATACAGTGCAACGCAGACAGTTCAATTTAGGTTCGGTAAATAATCGAATTTTACATGGGGGTTTCCAGACGAAATATTCTCTCAATGGTTATATACCCTATATTTTCTGGGTATATATCAGGTATATACCCAAATTTATTTATTATACCCACTGGATATTTACCCATGGCCTATCACTGTGCAAGATGAGTCTTTTATTATATTATTAATTTTTTATTTTTTCAGATAAAAATACGAGATTTGGTATGTTTAATGACTAAAGAATATAACACATGTAACGCCCCTATACGGGCTGCAGCAGAATTTGTGGGGCAGAACCTTAGGGCTCTAACTCATTGATGACCAGGTCGCAACGACCTGTCCGTCGGCTGGCCGGATGCGTTGCGTTTATAGCTGTGGCCAGATGAACGACCAGTTTCAACAGAGTTGTCAGATCTAACTATTTTTTACGTTTTGCCAATTAGAAAATATTGTTTCAGAAAGAATTAAGTTTCAGAAATGTTAAAATATCCAAGTTAACTAAAAAGCGAAGTTGCTATTCATGAGCTTATTAAATGTTCTAATATTAAATAATGCATTTAAAATATTCTTGGATTTTTCGTTAATAAATACTTAACTGGTGTGGTATGGAGTAAGTAAAATCTCCAACCCCGACTACACGATAACGTCGTTATTTCCATATTTTTCAAATCCGCGATACCTTCTATTCTATCAGTCATTTCATAATAGAATATTCTACATCCTACGTCTAGGTAATTTAATATGTGTCGACATGTAACTCGTGAGCTTTTTAGCATTTTTTAAAGGACAAAAATAGTATAGTTTCTAAAGGTGCGTCCAGACTTTAGCATTTTAGCCCGAACAAACCGAGCGCGCATGAACAAGCAGAACAAAGTGGCGGAACAAAAAGCATTTCGTACCCGCGACCGACAAAAAGGGAGATTTTCTGTTTCTTTTTTCTACTGATATGGACTTCTACTGTTGGTCTTATCGACTTTAGAAGTAAACATATTAGGGCCATCGTAAAAAAAAGTCGTCAGACACTGGCTCTGAATATAAGCAGGTAGAAAATTTAGCTTCCAGTTATTTCAATGTTTACAATATAAATTCTTCTTTTTTATTGTTACTGAGAATCTACAACAGTAAATACTTCTATTTTTATGAATGTTTAAGTTACTTTTACTCTTATTTTTTTAAAAAATAATGTACGTAGTAGAAATATAGTCTAACGGACCCTCTTTGAAAAACGTTAAATTAAATATAATATTTAAAATACAGTTGTCCTCCTTGTACATGACTACAATACAACTAAAAAACTAATTTAATAAAAAAACAAGTGGTTGTAGAAAAACTTTAAATATGATTTTTTTTTATTTTTTAACCTCGAAACTCGAAGGTATAATAACAGCTATCATACCAACCATAAATAGAGTATGTCATATAAAAATGTTTTGAATTTTTAATAGAATCGACCCTTGATAAAAAAAGGACAAGATTTAAGTTTCTCTTTGATCCAGTTTGTATACTATTTCTTTGGATTTTCTACACGTGCGCAAAAACTACACTAAAACACTATATCTTATAGAAAATAAAATATTGTGCGATAAATTGGAGGAATTTCATCTGGAAAATTATTAATTTGGAAGAAAACCGGCAACAAGCGGCAGAAAATAATATTTTAGTGCAGTCTACTGGTCGCAACGACCAACGGACGGCCAGGACGTTAGTTTGCGCTATATCATTTGATTTAATGGTTTTAGAGGTAGCAGCGGCCTGGTCGGTGCGACCTGGTCATCAGTGTGTTCGAGTCCTTAGAGACCTTTTTTTTAGTGGCAAACAATGAGTCATCATTTGGTCACCAGCGACAATTTTAACGATTTTTAATAGTTTGTGAGTAGTAAACTTTGTATAAACTTTATTACAATGGTGATTAGTTGTTCAGCTTTCAAGTGTAAAAGCAGCAGCGATAAGAAAGAGCCAGGAGTTACCTTTCATAGGTAAATAAACAGTCCACTTCAACTTTTTAGCGTTTTCTTATTGAATTCGTTAATTATTCTTCAATTTCAATTAACATCTATATTAACTTGATATGTGCTATACGGCGATACTAGTTTTGTACCTTTCGTTAACATTTTAATACGTTTTCTTCGTAATTAATTAGTTTGATATACCATAGGCGTAGTCAAAACAATTATCAAAAAATATAAATATTGCTTCAAACAGCTAAGTTAAGAAAAATATGTGCCACGGCACTGTTTGGTGACACCGGCACAATTTGCTCTCGGGTGTTATTTGTCCTTGGATTCTTTAGTCATTGGGTATGTTAGTATGTGACATAAATTAGGATTAATTGACTTATTCAATTATTTTCGGTCATTTCCTGTTTTACCGGAAATAACTACAACTACAACTTTTGATTTTTAAATAGCACCCTCGCTATTTTTAACTTTATTTAATAGAAAATGACACTTAATTATATTACTATTAGTCATTTTCTGACATTCAACCTTAAAAAAATCGTGTTTAAAATTTCAATCTAGAGTGCCATGGCTGTGTTAAAAACACTAATTTTTTAATCAAGGAGCCTTGGAAAAATATATTTGATCGTCTAATGTTTTTCGTGTCTTGTCCTGGTCGGTTAAAAGATGCCCAAATTGTATTTTTAATCATACCTTTTTAACGTCTTTGGTAAAAAGTATTTTTTTCGAATAATTTGTTACCACAGACTTGGTATTTCGAATTAAATTGTCGTTACATGTTATGGTCATGGCACTCTAAATTAAAATTTAAAATGCTGTTTTTTTTTAATTGAAAATGCCAAAAGTTGACATTTGCTATGTCATTCTATTCAGAATGTCACTTTATATCAAATGATGTAAAAAAATACCAAGGGTCGTGTCATTTAAAAATCAAAAGTAGTAGTGTAGTAATTTCCGGCGAAACAGGAAAAGTGACCGAAAATAATTGAATACGTCAATCAATACTAATGTATGTCATATACTAACATACCAAATATCGGTTTTTTATCTGAAAAAATAAAAATGTTATAGGGGTGAGAAACTTTTGAGAAGCACCTGGTATACAGGGTGGCGCCTCTCATACGCCGCGGAGGCTCCAAGGAGAACGACAATTTGTATTGAAATGAAATTTTGTAAGCATATGTAGGTTAAGTCAGAGCACTTTTTAAAAATATAGAGAGTTCTACAGGGTGTCCCCCAAAAAAGTTACATATCAAAGTTGTGTTTTTTGTAATGGAACACCCTATATATTAATTGATTTTCGGATTCTATGTGAAAAATAAAGGTGAGTTTTATTAAAGAAGTATATACCTAAAATCTATTGACTTTGACATATTTCACATTTTGTGAAAATGAAGAGTAAATTATAAATTTCGATAACAGCTACTTAAATTTTAGTTGACCTTGTATAGCCTGATATTTAATTACAGTAACCATTGTATGTTAAAACAAATTTCTCCATTGAATACCGGAATAATATACTGGGTGTTCCATTTAAAATAAAGGAGCAACTTGCTTTTAAAAGTGACTAATGTTCCATATTAATTTTGTCTCACCCTGTATAACTTTTCGGGTCAAATTTCAATTTGGTTTAAAATACAATGGTTACTGTAATTAAATATTAGGCTATACAAGGTCAACTAAAGCTTAGGTAGCTGTTATCGAAATTTAAAATTTACTCTTCATTTTCACAAAATGTAAAATATGTCAAAGTCCTTAGATTTTAGGTATATACTTCTTTAATAAAACTCACCTTTATTTTTCTCCTAGAATCCGAAAATCAATTAATATATAGGGTGTTCCATTACAAAAAACACAACTTTGATTTGTAACTTTTTTTTGGGGACACCCTGTAGAACTCTTTATATTTTTAAAAAGTACTCTGAATGAACCTACATATGCTCACAAAATTTCTTTCCAATACAAACTGTCGTTCTCCTTGGAGCCTCCGTACAGGGTGGTCCGAATTGTATTACGGAAACTTCGGCAGCATATTTTGCAGATAAAAATAAGTAAAAAAGTTCGTATAAATGTTGTATGTTCTAAAATGCTTAGTTTCGGAGATACAGGGTGTAGAAGTTTCATCTTTATTTCGATTTTTCCAGATAATTTCTGAAGTAACGTCAACGTTTGGATGAAAATTGGTGTCTGGGAATTTTTTGACATGAGAAATTTCTCTTTGTAGAGGGCGCCACCTACATGTGTTTTAACTGTTTTGAAGAGTAATAACTTTTCGTCCGTACCTGTATAAAACTACTGAGTGAAAAAATATTCATTTCCGTGATTTTTTACGTAAAAAATGTCTCTTGGTAAAAATCGCTACGAGCAACCGTTCTCAAGATATCTAGAATGGAAATAGTCAATTCATGTCATTATTCATAAAAAATAAACACGTTGAGTAGTTAGTTCTTTGACTGAAATAATACATTTCGGGAATTTTTATTTTTTTTAAATTGATCATAAATTTTTCTGCGAAAAAATGATGATAAAACAGTTTCTTAAAATGTTAAACTTTTGGCACAAAAACATTTCAAATTTATGATTTCAATCTAATAACTATTTAGTCAACATGTTTAATTTATGTCAATGATGACAGGTACTCATAATTTCGATTCCAAATATCTCGAGAACCATAACTCGTAGCGATTTTTACCAAGTGACCT